TTTTTCATATGAAAAAAACAAACCATTTTGAGAAATTACATTTAATTTAGTTGTCATGTTGAGGCCATAAAAAAGTGTGATAGTAATTTATGTATTTTCTTCATTTATGCCCAGAAACAAAGACTGAATAAAAAATAAATCTAATCCGCTTCCTGAAAAAAAAATCCTTGGGAAGGTTTAAAAAAAACCTTAATCGTTTTTATTCTTACTCTCCTTCCACTAAGCTGGTGTCCAGCTTTGGAGACAGTTTTAGGAACCGTGTCCCAGTCAGTTTTCAGGGACATGCAGCTGGCAGCATAGAAGCCAGGTTTCTGCACATTGTTCAAGGGAGAAACAAACATGAATGTATATTATGGTAGTGATCAGTTTGATAATCTGAGCAGAAAACCAAAAAAGAAATTAAAGAGATTATTTAAAACTGAATAATAGTGTTCAGTAAGAAAAAAAACTCAGTATAAAAACCTATAGAAACCAACTCAGAGCATTATATTCTCACCCTTCATGTTCACGCTGGTCGTTGTCTTTGAACACGGTTATTGGATCCATGGAACGATCACTCTTCAGGGAAACACAGCTGGTTGGAGGCGATTCTGGGCTCTTCTGATTACTACTGTCAGAAATCAACAATAAATATTTAATATGCATCTGCTGCAAGATAACGGAAGAGTTTAAGGTCAAGCAGAGTCTGTTAAAGTTATAAATGGATCTGGGGAAGTGTTGGTCTATTCGGTTAGAGAGTTACCAGGTTAGATCCCCACAAGCTTCACTCTGGGTTCCTGAGCAAGACCCTTAACCCCACGCTGCTCCCCAGGCGCTGCAAAGTGGCAGCCCACTGCTCCCCAAGGGGATGGGTTAAATTTAGAGTTAAATTAGATCAATAAAGTTCAATTCCCCATTCTAAGCCATCTTTCTGCCAGCTTTATTTTGGTAGATGGGGTTGTTTCCCAGAGACCGAGGTCATGCTTGATCAAATAACACATAGATTTTAATGTGTTAATGTAGCTACTGTCTATACTTGTTTATCAGTTAATATTTTTATGAGAATATAAATATGGATATAGTAATATTGATTACTAAGAAAACTGATCCATTTAGTTTACCGTTCAGTGAAAATACAAACGTATTCATTGAACGTGTTCATGCAGAACACTGCGAACAGAAACAGAATATTTTAGTAAGACTATGATGCTGATGAACTGAGGATCCAGGGTCAAAGCCTTTTGATTGGCGTTTGGTGTTCAAGCGTTATGGACACCCAGAGCACGTTTGATCTGAACCCATTATTAGACTGCATATAGACTGCACAGAGACCGTACATAGACTGCACAGAGACCGTACATAGAATGCACATGGACTGCATATAGACTGCACATATACTGCACATGGACTGCACATGGACTGCACATAGAATGCACATGGACTGCACATGGACTGCACATAGATTGCACATAGACTGCACATAGACTGCACATAGACTGCACATGGACTGCACATAGACTGCACATAGA